GTTTATTTTGCGTTTGTCATCCGGTGTTCTATGGGTCTGCCATACTCTTCTTAGTCTACGTTGTTATGCTATGTTTTTTAATATGTATTGGGGATATTCATGTTTGCTGATAGACTTTTTTGTCGGTGTGGAGATGCGGATGGCGTTTATTATGCTCGTGTTTAAGTATTCCGTGGCTGCTTCGATTTCTTCCTTAATTTTTAGTGAAGTTAAGGCTGAAGTTGAGTGAGTAAAGACTTCTCTAAAGAGCTGCTAGTTGGTGTGTTGGTTGTGAATGGAGCTATTAGGTGTATTCTCGATAATTGTTGAACTGACTGTTGCTATCACGGGGGAATGATCAGAGGAGAGATCAGCCGAGGAGTTGATTTGGACGTGTCTTGATGAGATATTTTTAGTTACGAAGAAGTCAAGAAGGTCGGGTATTTTGTTAGTGTCAGTGGGCCAGTATATGGGTTCGTATGTGGTAAGGTAGTTGAGGCTGTTGGTTATTATGCTGTTTAAGAGGTTTTTGCCTCTTACTGTAACCAGTCTGCTGCCCCATTGGGTGTGTTTGGCGTTATAGTTTCCTCCAGCTATGAATCTATTGCCCAGGGCGTCCAGGAAGTTATCAAAGTCTTCTTTGGCGATGGAGTGTCTGGGCGGGCAGTATACTGCTGAGGTGGTAGTTGTGCCATGACAGTCTTCTATTGCTGCGTTTGTTGCTTGGAGGTAGTCTTTCTGGAATGATGGAAGTTCATAGTGCTTAATGCTTGATTTGATTATGATTCCGGTGCCACCGTCTGCCTTTCCGCTGGGGTGTTGGGTATGGTAGAATTTATAATCGTTTATATTCAGGTAGTTCTTGTCGGTGAAGTGAGTTTCCGATACGAGCATAACGTCGATTTGCTGGTGTTTTAGGAAGAGTTCTAGTTCAAATTTGTGTTGCGCTAGACCGTTGGCATTCCAAAGAGCTATGCGTCTTGGTTTTATTTTGCGTCGGGCGTATTAATTTATCCATGATGAGTGTTAGTAGCGATAGCAAATTATTTATTTGCTCCGATTGTTTCTCTATTAGCTTTTCAAGCCTAGAGACGTTGTCTGTGTTAGGTGAATTGGGGACACTATTTTGAGAAAGATCCCTTTGGCTATTCGGGTTATTTTGGATGCCTTGTACTGCTTGGGCATAGGAGGTTGAGGTAGCTGAGAATTTAGTAGGACTGGGTATTTGGTTGGTTGAGAGGATTGGGGTAGTCGTGAATTTCGGCGGGCTGGGCATTTGGGACTGGGTATTTGATTGGTTATCTCTTTTGCTCTGAGTTTAGGGTACTTATTTATGTACAGGGTTTTGATGGCTGAGCAACCTTTGTAGTTAGCAGGATGGTCACATTGACAGTGGATGCACTTCGCTGGGGTTTCCGGTGATTTAATACACTGGTCAGTGGGGTGTGTACCTGTACATTTGACGTAGCGGACGGTATGGTTGCAGTTTTTCTGCGCGTGACCGTACCTTTAGCACCTTTTGCATTGAACTATCTCTTTTTTAACAAGCGGTGGTTCGAATTTTACTATTGCGTTCATTAGGCGACTGATGTTGTAAATTTCCTTATTGTTAGGTTTTTGCTTTATGTCGATAAAAAATAAGGATAACGGGTCTTTCGAGACTCTATGCCTTATATTATTAACGATGACTTCGTAGCCGAGTTTTTGAGTTCGAATTGGCGATGTTTATGGACTTGCTTTTTACATATACTATGGTCTAAGGTTAACAAACGTACGGCGTAGGGGGTTTCGGAGCCCCCAGGCCCCGTCGGGAACATGAGTGGCTTACCAGGCTCGACCCGACGGTTATCATGTTACTGGAAGAACGGCGGGAGGAGGTGGAACCCCAAGCACCCCCTTGTGCGGTAATAGCTACTGGGGAAAAGGAGAAGGGCAAGCTAAAGAAGACGACAGCGGGAGGAGAGAAGCCGAGGATGGTGTCTGACGTGAAACCGAATGAGAATGTGATAATCTCGGTTATTCCGAGGAAAGATGGGGGGAGTGAAGATTTCTGCCCCTTTAATCCGAGTAAGAGGCTTCAGAGGAGTCCTATGATTAGTGAAAGGATGGAGGTTGGAGTGGTCGAGGAATCACAGGGTTCCTTTGCGACTGGAGGGAGCGACCACAGTACGCCAGTAACGGGGAAAGGGCTGGCCTACGCTAAAATGCTGGCCAGGAGGGTGGTTGAGAGGACCGTCAGCGCGAAATCAGCGAGATCGGCTATGGATAGTGAAGCCGAGGATAGTGCGAGAGACGATAAGCAGATTAGCGATGTTGACGACGAGGACTTTGTGATCTCCAGGGCTAAGTTGAAAGGGCTCACACAAGCCATGGCAGGGGTGGTTAAAATGTTCAATGTTGAAGAGGTTAAAGCGCCGGTAGCAGGGAAAGGGCTGGCCTACGCTAGAATGCTGGCCAGGAGGGTAGTCGAGAGAAACGTCAGCGCGAAAACCGCGAGATCGGCTATATCTAGCGAAGCCGAGGATAGTGCGAGAGACGATACGCAGATTAGCGATACTGACGATGAGGACCTTCTGATCTCCAGGACTGAGTTGAAGGAGCTCACACAAGCCATGGCAGGGGTGGTTAAAATGTTCAATGTTGAAGAGGTTAAAGTTGGACAAAGAGAAGGATGAAGGGATAAGGGAGATAGGCACATTATGAAAGGTATCCTGTCTACCTTGGAGCAATGTGGGGAACACAAGGACAGAAGAAGAAGGACAAGGAGAGAGCCTGCCGAGGTTGTGAAAAGGACAGACAGGGCAGAGTTGCGATCGTTGTTCTGCCGCAAGCGTATATCGATAAAGGCGGCGACAATATTAAGATTAGGACGGGCCTAACAATAGCCACAGTCAGGGCGTTACCCAATGTGACAAAGTGCGATAGATGTCAGATGTTCGGGCATACTGCAAACAAGTGTAAGGCTGTGAGCCCAGGAAAGGAAGTCTGTAGGAAGTGTGAAGGAAGAGACCACACGATAGCAGCATGCCCAAATTTACCGTGCTGCGCGATATGTAGCAAGGAGACGGGTGTTAGGTTTGACCATGTGACGGGGTCCCTGGCGTGCCCCAGTTACAGGAGAATGTTACGACAGGGAAGACAAGGGAGGAGATGAAAATCCTCCAGATTAATTTAAATAGATGTAGGATGGCGCAGGATCTAATGCCAAAGCGCGATCGAGGCCAGACCGGATGTGGTAATAATATCCGAACCGTACAGGCAGCTACCTTACTGGTATAACGATACTAAGGGTGCTGCTTCGATTTGGGTCACGCAATTCAATGGTCGAGCACCGAATGAAACGCTTCTCTGCAGGAAGGACGGACTAGTGGGTATTGGTGTAGGTGATATCCTCTGTTTTAGTGGTTATTGCTCCCCCAATATCAAAATCGAGGAATACACGACGTACATAAATAAGCTTGTATCGGAGATAAGGAAGGGTGTAAGCAGAAACAAGAGAGTGATTGTGGCTGGCGACTTTAACGCTAAGTCCACTTGCTGGGGAGGACAAACCACAGACGAGCGAGGAAGAATTTTAATGGAAACCCTGTGCAATTACGGTGTGTTCCCTATAAGGTTGGACGATAAATACATGTTTTTTAGGAACGGAAGGACGAGTTGCCCTGACATAATCAGTGCAACAAACAAAGTTAACGACCTCCACGTAGGGAGCAAGGTTTTAAATGCTTTCACAGCATCGGACCACCTATACATATCTCATACGTTTGAAACGAGGACCGTAAGTGATCGAACTAAATTCTTTAAATATGTGACGAAGGGTCTTACACCCGACATATTTTTAACTAAATTTGACGAGATCACTAACGTGCAGAATTTTAATGCGACGGACGACGAGGATAAGGCGGAACTGTTTCAGAAATGTATGGCGGAAACTTGTGACAAGACGCTGAAGAAGGTGCGCTGTACGACAAACAAGAAGTACAGCAACCATTGGTGGAATGAGGCGATCGCAGAATTGAGAACTCAGGCTCACAAAGCATTGAGGAAAATAACTAGAGCAAGGAGGAAGGAGGACAGCGGGATTGAAGCCTTTATTAGTAACTATAAGGGGCTAAGAAGACAGCTGAAAAAAGAAATAGCTGAGAGTAAAAAGAGCCTGGGCCGGATTCTGTGAGATACTAGAAAGGGACCCGTGGGGAAAGCAGTATCGCACGATTATGAACAGATGTGGCAAGAAAGGGCTTCCGAATGGCATGCCTGTTAACAAGGCGAATAAAATTTTAAAAGGCTTGTTCATCATTGGACACAAACAGGAGCTAAGGGAGGCCGAAGAACGTGATAGGGAGGATATCAGCTATAACATGAAGGAGGAAGATGTTAAGGAAATCATCGGAAGAATAAATGGAAGGAAGGCGGTGGGAATAGATGGGGTCCCAGGTGATATTGTTAAGCTGCTAGTAAACAACCGAACAGAGCTTATCACTAAGGTGATTAACAGTATCACGGACTCTGGTAGAATCCTGGGGTGCTGGAAAACAGCGAGAGTAATATTGCTCAGTAAACCGGGTAGGGACCCTAAGCTCCCTAATGCATACCGCCCAATAAGTGTACTTCCTGCCTTGAGCAAAGTGTGGGAGAAGTGTCTCAAGTTGATTATGGGAGTGGACCCATTTCATAGGAGACAATATGGGTTCAAGAGAAGAAGGAGTACGATGGACGCGATTACACAGGTGATTAAATTCGCGGACACCTGCAAGAAGATAAGAATGGTATGCTTGATAATTGCGTTGGACATCAAGAATGCATTCAACACCCTTAGTTGGAACAGCATTGTTGACGAACTGACCAGGAGGAAGCTGCCTTGCAAGATCATTAGACTGGTA